GAGAGCTGAAAAAGCTGGCGGTGATGGGAAACATGTGGCCGTGCAGAGGAGTCGGAAAGAAGAAACCCTGCTGACGGCTGCTCAGAAAGGTAAGGTGGGCTGTGGCCGCTCCCGAGTGGGAGCACTGGGCACTGCTCAGAGAAAACTGCTGCTGCAGCTGAGGTTTTAGAGCCCCAAAACTCAGGAATTAAAAAAACCCCCACAGTTCTCAGAAAACCAGCAAACCTGTCTCTTTTCAGATCATGTTGTTTGTAGCAGTCGGTACATTTCAGTGTCCGTGTTGCACAAGCAGACAAATTATGTGGCTTCTTCCAGACAGCTTGTTTATTTAGTGTAGAAGTCACATCAGGAGTAAGATGTAGTAGCGTCTCATTTCCCTTGTAAACACAACCTGTCTCGGTGCTGTTAAAACAAGTTTACTTCCAGCAAAATTGTCAAAGCTTTACATACGGTACTAGCTTCCTTATAGGATGGCTGTCACTTTTGTTGGTCTCATTAATTTCTGTGAAAAGTGGTTACTACATAATTAGCCTCAGAAATTCTAAGTGCTTTTAAAAGGTTTGTTTAAAACATCCTCAACTGATGAGAAGGCTGCAGGAAAAATGTCTGTTAAAGTTTCCTCAGTAAGTTCACTGAAAGGCGCACCTTATCACTTAAGCAAAGCAGTAGTCTTTTTCAGTTTCTCAAAAGTACTTTGTAACAGAGAATCTCATTACTTTTTTTTTTTTTTTTTTTTTTTGGAGTGTATATTGACACTTTTGCTAGTACATTAGATCAAGACTAATAGATAAAGACAACTCGGATAGACAGCAGTTGATGGTGTCAATAAATAAAAGACATATTTTGGTCTAGTATCCCTCCGTTTTATTGTTCCCTTGATTGGCAATTCATAATATCAGTTATTTTCAGTGTGTGCAATTTGTAAGCTTATGCTTTTTTATTTTTACTTCTTCCTTTCTTTGCATAAGTCTTGCAATGATTGTGGGTTTATATGGTAGCTTGAATACTGCAGTGCTAAATACCTCCTTAGTTCTTAAAGAAGCCAGCTCTCATGCTATATGGCAAGTAATAATAAGTGCTAATCTGGGTCTTAAAAACACCTAGTAAGAAAACAGAAACTAAGAAGGCTTAATACAGAGATATAAATATGCCCTGCACAACATTAGAGACATTCCATAGTCTCTTTTTTTTTTTTTTTTTTTTTTTAAGTGATAAGGCATTATGGAAGCTGTTATTGGAATTTTTTCTTCTGCCAAAATGTTATTTGAGCTGGAGAGTAATAAAAGAGCATTTATATAAGAAAGCTATGTAGGTCTTACTATCCAAGATTGTAACTCCTGTGTTCTTTTCTGTCTATTTCAGTGAAAGAAGCTGGAAGAGACTTTACCTATTTTATTGTGGTGCTTGTTGGACTTGGTGTTACAGGTTATTTTTTAAAATTATATTTGTTATCTCAAGATACTTTTCATTAATTCCATCTGCTTTGGTTAGTTTTCATTCCATTTGCTGTTATCTCTGTTACAGGTGGTTTGTTCTATGTGATTTTTAAAGAGCTATTCTCTTCTTCTAGTCCAAGTAAGATCTATGGAGATGCCTTGGAGAAATGCAGATCTCACCCTGAGGTTGGTTTTTGAACCTTAGGCATAAGTTTGTGGCTTTCAGTAGTTACTGTCTCTCTTTGAGTCAAAAGTTTGCACAAGGAATCTCACAAGCAAAGCTACAGGAACACCTGTGTGGTGCTTAGCAGGCAAACACCAGCACATCTGCCTATGCTTTTAGCTGGCCAGAGGTGGGTCAGCTCCAAACTGGAGCCTATATTAGGACAAGTTAATGCAAGCACTAATGCTGGGTGAATACGTTAAGTGAGCGTACCACAGCACGACAACTGAGGCAACTACAGTGTCTGCCCCTTCAGAGCAAGTGGCTGTGTCTCCATACAGAAAGTCTTACAGACATACCTGAAGGACTACTAAATATAGTACTTAAGAAGTTCTGCAGGTCAGGGAAGCAGCTTGTCCCACTCAAGTTTTGTAGGTCTAGCCTGCTGCCTTTGCTCAGCACAGTTACTCTGTTTTGACACTTCACTGGGGTTTTGTTATACTGAGAAGCACTGCATAAGTGTCCAGGAATTTAAACTCTTCACTTGAAACACGGTTATCATTCTTGTGGCTCACAGGAAAAGAGAAAGTGAATGGTCACGTGATCACAGTCACATAAGATGGCTAGATGTAAACAAAAATCAATCTAAAATTATATTTTAAAACCCACTACTTCAGGCAAAACAAGAAATGCATGGAGTGTCTTTCAGACATCATTGCCACAGATGCCACTGTGGATAACCTAGAAATGAGGGAACCAGGGAAGTTGTGGATGCCCCATCCCTGGAGTTGTTCAAGGCCAGGCTGGATGAGGCTCTGAGCAACCTGGTCTAATGGGAGGTGTCCCTGCCCATGGCAGGGGGGTTGGAACTAGATGATCTCGAAGGTCCTTTCCAGCTCTGACCATTCTATGATTCTATGAAGTGGCATGTTGTCATTAAAATAAAAATTAAGACTGCTTTTGGAGAAGTTTGTAGAATTAAAACTTCTCTTCAGTATTTATACAGTAAAAATCACCCTCTCTTTCTAACCAACTTCAAAGTTGTAAGTTTAAAACTAGGTTAATTTGGTCTGGCTTTATAGATCTGACAAAAAACCCCTGAATTTCTTAAACAGTGTTTTTTAGATAACGTGAAGGGGAGTGCATTTGCATTTTAAACTTTGAAACATTCTCTTGGAGGGGACATGAACAAATATTTCATGCTTTTTTCCTTTTTACACAGAATGTCAGTAAAGTATAAAATACACAGAAGAGAGATTAAAATATAATCTCAGAGGTTGGTGCAAATGGAAGATATTAGTAGGATTTATTATAGACATTTAATATGTGACTAAAGAAAAGCACTGAAATACAGAGGAATTTTCCTTATACTGTTTTTTTCATAAACTCTTCTATTCTTGACATATCAGACCCACAAGGGGCATTTTGTTGAAAGAAAACGCATTCACAGCAGGGATATGAGCTGATACTGGAATATCTGTCTGAATGTGATACCTTCTGACAACTCAATCTTTTCTCTTGTAGATAGTTGGTGTTTTTGGTGAATCTATTAAAGGTTACGGGGAGGCAACAAGAAGAGGAAGACGACAGTTTGTCAGGTACTCTTTGGTGTTTGCCTCACACAGACACTATTTTTTGCACAGCAAAGACATTTTGGGTCACATAATAACAAGTTAGATCTAGATTAATGAACTGTGTGTGATATACCCTGTCACTTTTGAGTGAAAATGAAAGCAGTTTTTTGCAGTACCTCTTGTGTGGCACATACCACTAAATACAGTGCACATACAATATAAAATGCCAATTCTTGAGTGCCTCAAAACAAGCAATGGTCAGCATGGTAAACATAGAGCTGGTCCCTCCAAAAAATAGAATGAGTCTGAAGAAAGTAGTGCAGAGGCCAAGGTATGCATCTGGGGAGTAGAAGTCTGACTGAAGTTTACAGTGGAAACCCTCAAATAGCATTAAATTGTTCTTTGAGAGTTTTTCTATGTTTGAAGCAGTAGAATTTGTCAGGCCAGAAGAGCAGGAGGTACTAACTTTCAGACTTTCAGTAATCCAGCTTGCTCTGTTTAAAGCTAGGCTGGGGCTGACTGCACGGGTTGTAGTCACTGCAGTCAGTGACTATATTGTCCTGTGGTGATACTCAACATTTTGGGCACTTGAGGCCCCATCTCTACTGTTTATTTAACAGAACATTTCTCACCTAAACCTTTCATGACTGTGTCTATTTCTTATTCTCCTTTTGAGGGAAACAACAGAAGTAATTTTTACAAAATGTAAATGCTTCCTGCACTATAACCCAATAGGGGCCTTGTCTTCTTTGGGATCTTTGACTTGAATTTATTCAAGGAGGTTTCATACAGGATGGGACACATAAGCCCAGGTATACAACTTGAACCATGAAATTGAGAATGTTTTTCCATAGGAAGGTGATTTTTACTGGTGGAAGTTTTATCTTTTCACCAGATTCTGTGAAAAAGCATTTAAAGTGGAGGTGCTAAATGAAAACGATATGCACAAATGTTTTAAGCATGTCTGTAAAACAAAACATGTAAATAAGTAAATGTACTGTCTGCTTTCCTAGTATTTAATTTCCGTAATTTTGAAAGTCTAGTATTTTAAATAGAATTTTGAGATGAGGACTTTGTAAGATTGTAAAGTCTGTGTTTGCAGTTTAAGGATGACCTTAAATGTCTCAAAAATGTACAGATTTTTTTTTGTATTAACACCTTGAACATGAATTTACTGCAGTAAGACTCTTCATTCATCTTTGTTCTCTGTAACCCATCATGTTACCTTAAACTGTATTGGAAGTTGTGTATCTGGGCATTACTAATGTAAAGAAGAGCTTGGTAGTATGCAGCAGTCAGTAATTTCAGTAGGAAACAAACTATCACCAGAACTCTAGTTTGACCATTAGTTTCTGCAAGTGGTCGCCTTGAAAGTGATTGGACCTTTCTACTTGTCTAATATTTGAGCATAACCTAAATCCAGTCTAAATATCAACATTTAGGTTGGAGATCTGATATCAGTGCCAAATTTACACAACTTCTGTAGAATTACATTCTTGCCAAAATAAGTAAAGCATATAGTAAACTGTAACAAACCTGATAATTAAGTTGACAAAATGTTCTTTGTGTGTTTTGTCTTGGTAACTTAGTTTAAATGCCTAAATAACCCTGGTAGTCTTGGTGATGTGAGTGTCTCTTTCTAGATGTCAGGCTCTGAATCTGGGAGTTCTTTAGAATAAATACAAACAAATTCCAGAATCTTCAGCCACTGGATTGCTGTTGAGTTTTGAGGGGAGGACTGGAGTGAGGACATTTAAGCACTTGATCTATTAATTTTCAACTAATGCCAGTGAGTTCTTCTATCTCCACTACTCCTTGTATGCTCACAGTAAAGCTTGGGAAGAGCATCAGAGAAGGAATGCATGGTAGCACAAGGACTGCATTGGAATACACTTTTTCACAAAATAGTTAAGCAGCTCCTCTAAGTAAGAAGTTCAAATTTGAAGTTTAACTAACATATAATATGTATCCTTGCTGGGTGGTTTGGTTTTGTGTTTTATTTTGCTATTTTTAGTCACATTGAATACGTAAAGGATGGACTGAAACATATGCGTTTGAAGTTCTATATTGAGGGCTCTGAACCAGGGAAACGGGGAACAGTCCATGTGGAAGTCAAAGAGGTAGGTACAATTGCTCAGTACAGCTGCCAAGCTTAAATCTTGAATGTAAACTACCGAAGATGAAAAAACAGAGCCTGAAATGGTTTTCTTTACAGAATCCTGAGAGAGGAAGATTTGAGGTCCGCTACATATTTGTGGATGTTGACACCTATCCTAGAAGAACCATTGTCGTAGAAGACAACAGATAGCCAATGATCAAAGTTGCTGCCTCATCTCACCGAGTACTGGATGATACTGGTGTAACCACTCTACACGTGAATTGTTTGGTGTTCTTGATCGTATCTTGCAGCTTTGGGGTCGTCTTACAGGAAGTAGCTTCTCAAGGCCTCCATCAAGATCTTTCATAATAACAGATACAGGATTTGAAGTAAAGCTGATGAAATATGGTAGAGCCATCACTTATGACAGATACTTTTGACATAGCAAAGTAATGGCTCGTAATAAACAGTTTAATGCTGGATAGTACTTCTATGCACCCAAAAACTGAGTCTTCCAAGATTTTAGGTTTGGATGGGGAATTTTTTGTCTTCCTTTGCCTGGATTTCCCTCTAGCACTGCAATAAAGAGAGTGGTACTTTTAAGTGTAGACAAACTCACTGTTTTCGTTCTGGATGCCTTTGTGTAGATAAGAAGGTAAAATAATGCATGTTAGTGATGCAGAAGAGATCTAGCCCAAAGGCATGAGAATATGGATTGTGGAGACACACATCCATGGCAAATGACTGAAGATAAAGACTTCAATATTGGTGGCTTCTAAATGGATTAGCAGCACACAGAACAGCAGCACTGTTCTGTTCCTTCCAACATTTGCCATGCTGCCCTGCTAACTAATGACACTGTTGTAGCTGCTCTGTGCTGCCCAGTTTTTCCATTAACTTAACTAATAAAAATCCGCTGGGAATTAGATACATATAGGTTTATCCAAACTCAGAAGCTCAACTCATGACCAAATTTCTCACCTGGGTTTCTTCCTTAGTGCAACATGACAGATAGCTAGCATAACTCTGTATGTTAGTAAACCAACAAAAAATATTTAAGCTTTAGCTTTTTACATTTAACCACCTTCAACACCAACCAGTGGATTTTTCTGTCGTTATGTATCGTACATTATAAGTTTTTTAGTTCACTAGTGAATTATCCCTACATTAAGCATACACTGATGTTCAGTTATCAACCCTTAATATGAGTTCATTTAATGGTACATCTGGACTGCTCTAAAGTTTGTACGATATTCCCCCATACAGTGCCACAAATATCACAGATACACGTTTAGTAATATTTTACTGGACTTTAGCCATCCTGTTCATCTGTCTCCCAGCAATCTAATTTGCATAATCATAATAACTAAACATAATACTTTGTTAGCCCTGGATAACTTTGCTTTATATTAAGCACTACAACCTTGACCTTGGTTAGATCCTCATATTGTTTGAAACTATTCAGTGAAGAGGAATCACAAATTCATCCCAGTTTGTGAGCAGAGCAGAGCAACCACACATTATAGCAGAGCAGCCACCTATGTTAACCTTTGTTAACCTGAGAGGTATTTTGGAGTTTCTACACAGTATAAAATATAACTGACTTATACTATGCAGGCCAAAGGGATTCTTGCAAGACTTCGAATGCCAGTTGAGAGTGACCGGAGTGATTTCATATCCATTAATTTCAGCAGAGTTACAGATTTGTCTCCTTGCTTTCATTCCTCAATGGATGCTTTTCAAGACTAACAAGCCCACAATTTTACACATAGTCAAAAGCCATGGAAGTCCATGTTGGTGGCTCCTTACTGTGTCAGTGGTTCCTTGTTGTAAGTATGAGAAATCATTGTGGTACTTGATACATTGCCATGAAGCAGCTTTGATAAACTTTATTTTTACCTACAGTTATTGTCATCATTTATGTCCATCTGGAGAGGTGTTTTTAAATAATGAAAGCAATTGACTCCCATTGTTCTTCATGTTATTTTCTTGAAATAACACCTTTTGACTTGTGACTCTTCCCAATTCCTAGCATTACGTTTGCCAAAATTTTTATTTCAGAAGAAATTTTCAAATCAACCTAATTGATTTATAGCCCAGAGGAAAAAAAAAAAAACAAAAAAAAACTGTCTGAGGCCCTCATGTTTCATTGCAATCTGCTGCAGTACTGACTGATAGCATTACATACCATGTTTACCTGCCACTGCTTATGTCCAGTTGCTATAAGCATATGTCATACCTCAGCAGTTACTGAAAGCCACCTCTGCAAGAGTTTTGTCACAAATGCAAGATGGAGCAGGTTTGTCAGAGCACATCAGAAATACTGCAAGCTATATGTTTATAACCTAATACTAAGATTACTAGCCTTAAGCCCATAACATACCTTGATAAAAATGTAATCATTTTTCACCTTTTACAAAGCAAGACTATTTCAAAAAACAGAGTTTAATCTAGAAAATGTGACACTATTTTTGCCCACCCTTTACGAGTTTCTACCGTATCAAGCTCCCTGGAAGCCATTGTAAACTTCATGTCAGCAACAGAACTGACAGGCTAGGTTTTTTCCTGTAACTGCATCCCAGCTTTGCTTTCTTATTAATCCAGTCGTATCTTGTTTTCAGTGGGCTTCCCTGCTGGAGAAAGGAGTACTTCCTAAAGCAAGATCTACAAACCATTTTTTTATATAGTAAATTGTATAGGTACGGCAAAGAGGCCAGCTGTTAGGTTTACTTTTGCCTTGTTTTAGAGCCTTATTTGTGCTGAAGACAGAAACTATCATCAGGACTAGAAGCTTTCTGGGAGGGAAAAGATTATGACCTCACACAGTGATGTTTTTCCAACAGTGCAGGTAAGTGAAATACTCAGCCAGGCTTGTGGTAAAACAGCAAGAGTTGGCCATTGGGGTTAATGTATATGTTTGGCTTCAGCTTGAGGAGACAGACTAATAATTTGATTATTTGCAATCAGATTTATTTACAGGTTTTTTCAGTAGCAAGGGTTTCATAACATACAGGGAAATATGATGTATTTCAAGGGTTGTGTGAAAGAACTGTCAGTTTGCAAATCAGATTCCTGGTTGTTCAGTCCCTTTGAGACATCAGAATAGAAGTTTTTAAAGCTGTCTGCAAAGCTGTCAGTGCCATACTGCAGTGTCAGTCCTGCAAGAGCACTAGGTGCCCTTGTCATACTTTGGCATTATGACAGGCCTCAATATCATGCTCCCTAGCTGGGAATAAACGCTGTGATTACAGGTGTCAGAAGAAGTCTCAGCAAAGTCAGCGTAATGATTCTGTCTGGCCCTTTGGCAGCCAGTCCAGACCGGTATGAGAAAAATGCAGACAGATCAAAACTGGCAATAAGGAAGAGAGATGAGTATCATTTAACAGACGGATGTGGAATTGTCCACAGTGCAACTGACCTTCATAATTTGTATCTAAAAACAAAGTATGAACCTCTGTTTTATGCACTGCATTTCAAGAAACTGGAGAATCCAGAGGGGATTACTTTCAAGTTTATTTTTGGTGAGGGTAGCCCCAATATGAGAGGGTTATAAATAAAATGTTTCTCATCCTGTATTTACCTAGAGTACAGTTTTGTTTTATTTTCACAACTCATGTTTCTCCTGTGGAGTTGCAAGAAAGCAAGTGGGTGAACACACTTGCTCAAAGCAGCAGGATACACAGCTGTAGTAGCACCCTCCATACACATCCTAACAAACAAAATATCTCACAGGCTGGAAAGAAGCTGCAGTGGAGGAGTGTATCTAGATCATATTTATATATTATCCTGCTTTGTAAATAAGAGAATACTAAAGAGGCAGGATAATATTTTGTTTCTAAAAAGTGGAAAAATACAATTGTCATTGTAAATGTAAAATTATTATTATCTCCAGGAATTGCTAACTGTTATTTTCTAACTAAAGCTTAACCCGCTTTTATTTTGTTGGAGTCCAGGGAAGATAGCAAGTCAGTCAATCTCCTGCCTGGTGGGAAGGGGTACAGAGCCCTTTTGGGTACCTTCAGTCATTCTCTTTGCTGAAGCTGCATTACATTCCCTATCATGGTTAGATCTAAAAGTTATTCACAGACAAGGGGAGCTATAACACTTGCAGCCCTATATCTGACAGTTTCCTTTCCTCTTGACCACCTCTCTCAACACTATCACCCCCACAGAGAAAAGGGAGAAAGAACTCAGTATCTGTAATTAACTTCTGACGATCACATATTTATAATGGCTGATGTGGGCTGTGCCCCTGAATGAATTGTGTAACACAGGTGGTCTTATTAGGATGCAGTGTTAGTTACTCTCCTGTTTGCAAAAGGCCATATAAATAGGATTTTTAGCTCTAGAAATGTTCTCCTGTCATTTCAGGAGAACATTTGGTATTTCCTTTAAAGCTGCCTTTTCTGTAGAATAACTGAAGTGCCCAATAAGTAGTGTACTCCATCAGTATACTTTGCTTTCAAGCCCTGCTACCAAAATTCTAGCTAAATGCAACAATAAGAGAGATGGACTTGCATGCACAAAATGTTCAGGAAGCCAAATGGTACCGAGATTTTCACTGGTATCTCGCCTTAAATATCATTACCTTCAAAACATACCGAAAACCATAATATTCCATTTAAACTGCTCTCCTTCCCATCTTGTCTATGTCTAGAAGTTGTATTTATCAGGATGTGTCCTCAGTCCATCAAATGCTATTAATTATTTTTTTTTTACTGCTTGCTTCACCTCACTAGCTAGACAGGTATACAAGGGTATTTTTCTTTATATTTCTGAATGGGGGGACGCAACTCTAAAGGAAATGACTTTTCCTGCTTTGTGAAAAGCTGGTAATCTACCTGAAACAGTTAAGGCAAAATTAAAGACATAGCAGAGGAAATCCATGTTTACATCAGCTTTAGATACATTAACATTCTTAATTTGGCCAAATGACAAACACAAGGCTCAAATGGTTTCAAATGTCAGTAGAGGAAAGCTTTTGGGAATCCTTTTTCTAGTAAAATATCTTCAGTGAAGAAAAGAAGAGGAAATTTGTAGCTGATTTATCATGCTCCTCCTAGCTAGATACCTATCACCAGCAAGATTATTTAAGCCTCAAGAGATTTCAAGACTATTAAAGTTTTATATTTATGTAGTTGGCTACAAAAAATAATTTAGACTCTTGCTAACATAGAAGTCTTGTAGGAACTAGTTACTTCTTTCCATAT